TATATATATATATATAAAATTTATTTAAACGCTTATTTTCCATTTTTAAGGTAGATTGTTAGAGAATGTCAATTAGTTGATTGCTTTTTGAGTGTTATATCAAAAATGCGTTTTGAATGTTATGTTATAAGTTTAGCATTGTTTTCGTAAATACATTTTTAGAAATATCATACAAACACGTTTTAAGCATTTTGTAATTGAAAACAACAAACTAAATACAATCAACCTAATAATTTACTTTTATTAGGGGTCGGGGTCTTATTTAGGAAATAAACATGATAAATGAGCAACTTATAAACTTAACCAAATAAGGGAATAAACTATAATTTGATTCACGTCATGATCAACCATTGTCATTTTGGAGTTTGGAGGGAGATACTGTTTTATCCTTTTTCTTAATTAGCCATTTGGAACTCAATCTTCGCAGATATTGAAAGTTAAACAATTTAATACAACAAAAAATTAAACAAAGAGTCCAATAATCATTTGAAATATCGATACGGAGGTGAAATTTCTTTAACATAACCGTAAAATATCTTGTTGAACTATGATTGATTATAATATTAAAGTTTTGATTATAACAAACAAATTAATCTTATTTACTAACAAATTGAATTCAAGTGATTATAGTTTTTTAAAACATGTTATGAAATTGATCGATGGTAGTCAAAAGATCAAAAGATATCATCACAATCGGACTCATGAAGGAGGTCAAGATCGAAGTCATACATTCAAGAACTTAAGAGTCAAACTTCGGAGTAAGATCAAAGATTTGATTTCTTAGATAAAATGTAAAGATACCAACACTTTGATATTTGACAATGAATGCTTAACCTCAAAATCCTTCTATGTATTAAAAACAATTTTGTACATTCAAAGTTATTCTAATGCGATGGTTTGATCAAATATAAAAATGCCTTTTAAAATGATATTTGGACTTGAAGATCAGTTTTTATTTCGAAAAGTTAGTTAAAAATGCTTTCTAAAAGTCCATACCCTTCAAAACCTTCGAATTGGATCAAATGGGGTCAAAACGTAAAAAGACCGAAACTGTCATCGGTTGACCGATCGGGAGAGGTGGTCGACCAGCTAAAAGAGGTGATCGATCAGAAGTTTCCAACGCTCTAAAATTTGATCGTTCTAACCTCTAGTTTTTACTGTACAAAAGGTTATATTGATCATCCAGAAGATGTGGTCAACCAGATGAATCATTCAAAATCATAGATTTTTTTTTACGTTTTGAACTTATAAATATCCTCACTTTTCCAATCTTCACAAAACTTTTAAGAGCATTAAAGAGAGATATTTTTTGAGAGGATTCTTTAAACTTTCATTTGCATTCATTTCATTCATTTTTTCATATCAAAAACTTTGA